TAGATCTAGGGAAGTCATGCTCCCCATGCTCTATTCTGCTTTGGTTACACCACACCTGGAATATTGTGTCCAGTTCTGGGCAACACAATTCAAGAGAGATATTGACAAAGTTGAAGTACTTTGGCCACATCATGAGGAGACAGCAAAGCCTAGAGAAGACAATGATGCTGGGGAAAGTGGAAGGCAAAAGGAAGAGGGGCCGACCAAGGGCAAGATGGATGGATGGCATCCTTGAAGTGACTGGACTGACCTTGAAGGAGCTGGGGGTGGTGACGGCCGACAGGGAGCTCTGGCGTGGGCTGGTCCATGAGGTCACAAAGAGTCGGAAACGACTGAACGAACGAACAACAACAACATTGACAAGATGGAATGTGTCCAGAGGAGGGTGACTAAAATGATCAAGGGTCTGGAGAACAAGCCCTATGCAAAGATACAAAATGGGGGCTTAAGGAGCTAGGCATGTTTAGCCTGAAGAAGAGAAGGCTGAGAGGAGATATGATAGCCATGTATAAATATGTGAGAGGAAGCCACAGGGAGGAAGGAGCAAGCTTGTTTTCTGCTGCCCTGGAGACTAGGACGCAATGGAACAATGGCTTCAAACTACAAGAGAGGAGATTCCATCTGAACATGAGGAAGAACTTCCTGACTGTGAGAGCCGTTCAGCAGTGGAACTCTCTGCCCCGGAGTGTGGTGGAGGCTCCTTCTTTGGAAGCTTTTAAACAGAGGCTGGATGGACATCTGTCAGGGGTGCTTTGAATGCAACATTCCTGCTTCTTGGCAGAATGGGGTTGGACTGGATGGCCCATGAGGTCTCTTCCAACTCTTTGATTCTATGATTCTATGGTGTGAGAGAATTGGCCGTCCTCAAGGATGTTGCCCAGGGGACGCCCGGATGTGTGTTACCTTCCTGCGGGAAGCTTCTCTCATGCCCCCTCATTAGAAGCTGGAGCTGACAGATGGGAGCTCTCCCCACTCTCTGGATTCGAACCACCGCTCTTTCAGTCAGCAGTCCTGCTGGCACAAGGGTCTGGCCCATTGTGCCACTGATAATGATAATGACCTGATTCCCTGTGCATCAGGTCCTCAATGCGCTTACGGTTCATCACTGTGCGCATCCCATCCCTGTGGACCAAAAATGGAGAGAGAAAAAACATAGCCTTCCTTCCTATGCTTCTCTTCCTTTCTTCCTTGGGAGATCAGCGGTGCATATGCGGCGTCTATTCTTCTTCTCGTCTGTGGATATACCATTTCGGTTCATTATGGGATAGCCCGAGGTTGCCTCAGCAACCGCAGAAGGGGGAAAAAAAATCCCATCTTGAAGGCTCAGAAAGAACCACGTTTCGCAGGCAAGTGAAAGTGGCTCCCGACCTCATTATCCGCAGCCACTATGGACTGTGGATGATGGACTTGTTGCAGAGAGGCTGGCCCCTGTGCGCAAAAACAGAAATAAAGTATCCCCAAATCTCAAGAGGCCGCTTGCCCCTTCTTGACCTGGCCCTTGCGCATGGTGCCATCTGCGGCAGGCTTCCCATTCCCTCTGGCCGGGATTGCTGAGGTTTGCATCGCAGGGGCTTAATTGCTGCTTCGAGAGTTTAATCGCCCACTGGGATGTCATAAAAGAGCCAGATGCTGCAATGCTGCAACCTCTCCTCCCTCCCCGGCGCATGCATTCAACGCCAAAGCAGCTCCTGCACGGTTCGATGGATCTGTAGCACTGTTTGATGGGTGCCAGGCTTCCTTGGCAATATTCTGTCCAAGACAAGGAAGCCGTTTGCCAATATTGGTCTTCTTCCACTCCTCCCACACAGTCTCATGCTCCTGGTATTATTATTATTATTATTATTATTATTATTATTCGGTGTAAAATGGTCACAGGGAAGCATATTATTATCATTATCATTGTGCTGGTACAGCTGTACCAGAAGCTCCCACTTTATTTGCCTTGTATTAAGTGTTTGCTTGCAGCCCAAGGCTTGGGATTCTGCAGAAGAATCATAGAATCAAAGAGTTGGAAGAGACCTCATGGGCCATCCAGTCCAACCCCATTCTGCCAAGAAGCAGGAATATTGCATTCAAATCAACCCTGAAAGATGGCCATCCAGCCTCTGTTTAAAAGCTTCCAAAGAAGGAGCCTCCACCACACTCCGGGGCAGAGAGTTCCGCTGCTGAACAGCTCTCACAGTCAGGAAGTTCTTCTTCATGTTCAGATGGAATCTCCAGTCTTGTAGTTTGAAGCCATTGTTCCATTGCGTCCTAGTCTCCAGGGAAGCAGAAAACAAGCTTGCTCCCTCCTCCCTGTGGCTTCCTCTCACATATTTATACATGGCTATCATATCTCCTCTCAGCCTTCTCTTCTTCAGGTTTGGGACCAGCCTACCTGCGTGACTGCATTTCCATCTACGAACCCACGCATTCTCTCCGTTCATCTGGAGAGGCCCTGCTCGTGATCCCACCGGCGTCGCAAGCGCGCTTGGTGGGGACGCGGGACAGGGCCTTTTCCATGGTGGCCCCCCGACTCTGGAACACCCTCCCCAAAGACCTTGGACAGGCCCCTACATTGGCTGTCTTCAGAAAGAACTTGAAAACTTGGCTTTTCCGATGCACCTTCCCAGATTAGGAAATCTCCACTACCAAGTCCCATAAGCACTTTATCAGAACCAATGATTGCTGCACATCGCACATCGCACTTGCCCTGGAAGCCCTATATACACCTCCTGTCACATCAGCACTTTTAATCTTGTACCCATTGCTCTGGCCCGGCCCAGTTTTATTGTGTTTAGTGTATTGTGCCTGTTGTTTATTTTGCTTTATTCTGTTTTTAATTGTTTGATTTGCTTAGATTGTATTGTTGTGTTGTGTGTTGAGGCCTCGGCCTGTGTAAGCCGCATCAAATCCTTCGGGAGATGCTAGCGGGGTACAAATAAAGTTTAATAATAATAATAATAATAATAATAATAATAACAACAACAACATGCCCAGTTGTTATTATTCCCTAAGCCGCTCCTCATAGGGCTTGTTCTCCTCATAGGGCTTGTTCTTATATCCCTAAGCCGCTCCTCATAGGGCTTGTTCTCCAAACCCTTGATCATTTTAGTCACCCTCCTCTGGACATATTCCAGCTTGTCAATATCTCTCTTGAATTGTGGTGCCCAGAATTGGACACAATATTCCAGGTGTGGTCTAACCAAAGCAGAATAGAGGGGTAGCATGACTTCCCTAGATCCCTAGAAGTGGCTTCCTGTTAAAGTTTGCAGTTATAGGGCAGGCCCCCTGTCCATCATCATTAAGCTTTGGTTCTGCCCCCTGTTCAGGCTCTGAGAGGGATAGGAACCATTTTGGTTAGTGTCAGCGAGGAAAGTCAATGTACAGGACATGTACAAACTTTCTCCTGTACAAAGGCTTCAACCCTTAAGACCTCCCGGGGGAGACCAGTCTTAAGAGCAAAAGGATTCCCAAAGATTCCCAGGGAAAAAGCCCTAAACCTCTGAGGAATTTCGGAGGGAAAAACAGCTTTGGACATCTAAGAACTCCAGCTGAAGTGACTACAGGCCTTTTGGTAGGTCCACTCGGTGCTTTGAGACGCAGTTCAATCCGGTAGTGGAGCCCACATCAGTTAGGTTTAGGATCACAGTTAGCCTGGGAGAAGTTTGGAAAGGGATTTTCCTTTAGAGTAAAGTAACAGTTAGTAGCCACCAGTTGCACAAAAGCCTGGAAGCATTTGTTTAACCTTTTGAAGACAAGAGAAGTTTCTGTTTGATTGTTCCTCAATAAAAGACTGTTATATTTCACAAGCCCTCAAAAGACTGTTTATGGTGAAAATCCTTAAGAATTTCTCTTCGGGCCCCCTGGCTTCCCGCTGGGCTAAAGTTGCACATCTTGTTTTAAAAGCAATTCGTTTCAAGCCGAGCGTGCGACAGAACAATCATCATCATCATCATCATCATCACAACAAGATGATTCCACAGCAAACACTCTGCTGGCTGTTGTATTGGATCACTCGTCGGGCACCTTCCCAGGTGTCTAGGACTGTGTGATGTATCGGCGAACAGTGCGTGCAGATCCCAGTAAGGTGGCCGCCTGCAGCTGGCAGCTGGTAATTTTGTCAGCACCGATTGTGTTTAAGTGCAGGCCAAGGTCTTTAGGCACTGCACCCAGTGTACCAATCACCACTGGGACCAGCTTGACTGGCTTGTGCCAGAGTCTTTGCAATTCTACCTTTAAATACTCATATCGTGTCAGCTTTCCAGTTGTTTCTCTTCAATCCTGCTGTCACCTGGGATTGCAATATCAATAATTCATACTTTGTTTTTTAACACAATTGTGAGGTCAGGAGTATTGTGCTCCGTCTGAATTCGGAAGTCCCAGAGTAGCTTGACGTGTTCATTCTCTGTAACTTTTTATGGCTTGTGATCCCACCAGTTCTTTGTCGCAGGCAGATGGTCTTTGTGGCACAAGTTCCAATTAATCATTTGACCAATGGTGTTGTGCCTCTGCTTGTAGTCTGTCTGCGCAATCTTCTTGCAGCAGCTGTGGATGGGATCGTCTGGTGGTTTCTCCGTTTTTGACCACCTAATTACGCCCTTTAGCTTTTTATATATATAGATAAATGTAATGTTCATTTGTGGGATTAATAGAACTCAAAAACCACAGGATGAATTGACACCAAATTTGGACACAAGACAACTAACAACCCAATGTATGTTCTTCACTCAAAAAAATTGATTTTGTCATTTAGGATTTGTAGTTGCTGGGATTTATAGTTTACCTACAATCAAAGAACATTCTGAACCCCACCAACGATGGAATTGAACCAAACTTGGCACACAGTTCTCCCCGGCCCATTGTTGCTTTCCTGTGGAGAAAATGACTTTGCTCCCTCCTCTCCTCTTTGGGGACTTTGCATTCCATTCCTTCCTTCCGAGGAGTTTCTCCAGAAGAGCCTCCCTGGCCCTGGGCCGCTTCCACCTGCCTTCCCTGCCTTTGAGGAAGGGGTAGGTGGGGTTTGGGGGCCTCCGAATGGAGAATCCCGGCCCCTCCTCTGGCCCCAAAGCTGCTGCTGCGAGTGGAGTGTCCTTCCCAGGTCTGTGAGCAGAAACCCTCCAACTCAGAACTGATTTGGATCCAGAGAGACTGATCTGAGCTTGGTCAAATCTTGAGCTTGCTTTTCACTGCCTTTTCCAATTTGTGTGGGAGTTCACTTGCAAAGGCAGAGGAGGCTGTGCAAACCAGCGCATGGGAACTAATGGTCTGCATTGCCTGCTTTTTCCCAGCCACCCTTTTGGAAGAGGCAGCTGGAAATGGTCTTATTTGTGCCAGGTGCCCAGAATGGCCTCCTAAACATCAGGAGCAAATAGGACAATCTGCACCCTGAAGGGTCTAAAAAGGAAAAGGAGGCAAAGAGGGAAGAGGAGAAGCAACTGAACATCAGGATTGGTTCTTATAGTCAGAGTTTCCCAAAGGAGGAAAGTGGGGTCAGAGCAGAGCTGGCCTCTCCGCAGGCAGAGGCCATGGACCCTACTACGCCTGGAAACGTTTTCCAATGGGATGTTTCAGAATTGACCCTCCTTATATAGAAATTAGTTGCTGAACTTGCTGACCAAAAGGTTGGCAGTTCGAATCCAAGGAACAGGGTGAGCTCCTGCTGTTAGGTCCAGCTTCTGCCAACCTAACAGTTCAAAAACATGCAAATGTTAGTAGATCAATAGGTACTGCTTCTGCAGGAAGGTAACGGCACTCAATGCAGTCATGCCTGCTACATGACCTTGGAGGCATCTAAGGATAACACTGGCTCTTCAGCTTAGACATGGAAATCAGCAGCACCCCCCGGAGTCAGACACAACTAGTCTTAATGTCAGGGGAAACCTTCACCTTTACTATATAAAGGTACAGGCCATTGTTATTGTGCCTGTGTTTACTGTAATTTTTACATTGTTATGTATTCTTATGTTTTATGTAACTATGATGTTATTGTTTACTGGTCACGTTTTCAGTTTGTGTTTTGGTTTTTCTTTATTGTAATTGTTATTTGGGCTTGCCTCATGTAAGCCACTTCGAGTCCCCATTGGGGAGATGGTGGTGGGGTATAAATAATAATAATAATAATAATAATAATAATTATTATTATTATTATTATTATTATTATTATTTATATAGAAGTTTCCTGCCAAGGGAAAAGGGAGCATGAACTCTCCCATTGCGCCCTGCTTTTAGGGGTCTTCTGAGATGGGAAGCCAGTCCAGTCCTTGAAGGCCCCACTCAAGTGATGCCCACTGAGACCACCACTGCTTTTCTTTCCCTTCCCTGCAGGTTTCTCTTCCTACAACGGAGGTGGCATGAATGGAACCAGCAAGATGATGGATTTCCTAGAGGAGCCGGTTCCGGGTGTGGGGACCTACGAGGACTTCAACACCATCGACTGGGTGCGAGAGAAGTCCCGCGACCGAGACCGGCATCGAGAGGTGAGCCGCAGGGCAAGGCAGGCAGAGGCAGAAACATCCCAGGACCCAATGCAGAGACCAGGACCAGTCTGAAGAACTGCAAACCGTCCCTATGTTTAAGAAGCGTAGGGACCCCTGTTCTAGAGTAGCAGAAGACAAGCCTGCTCCCACTCCTTATGACATCCTTTCTGATATGTATTATCTATATATATAAATGCTCTGTGCATAATGAGTACCTTAAAAACAAAAGAACCAATGAACGAAATCACACCAAATTTGGCAACAAAACATCTCACAACACAAGGAGTGACCATCACTCAAAAAATTATTATTTTGTCATTTGGGAGTTGTAGTTGCTGGGATTTATAGTTCACCTACAATCAAAGAGCATTCTGAACTCCACCAACAATGGAATTGGGCCAAACTTCCCACACAGAACCCCATGACCAACAGAAAACTGGAAGGTTTGGTGGGCATTGATGTTAGAGTTTGGGAGTTGTAGTTCACCAACATCCAAGAGCACTGTGGACTCAAACAATGATTGATCTGGACCAAACTTGGCACATATATCATATGCCCAAATATGAACACAGATGGAGTTTGGGGGAAATAGACCTTGACATTTGGGAGTTGCAGTTACTGGGATTTATAGTTCACCTACAATCAAAGAGCATTCTGAACCCCACGAACGACAGGATTGGGGCAAACTTCCAACACAGAACCCCCATGACCAACAGAAAATACTTAAGGCCATCCAGTCCAACTCCCTTCATCAGGGCAAGAAAACATAATCAAAGTCCTCCTGACAAAAAGCCATCCAGCCATAGATAGATAGATAGATACACACACACACATATATGACAGATGCAGTATCAAAGATTTGAAAGGAACTCCTAAAGAAGGACAATGATATGTTGCAGGTTCCAGAGTAGGCAAACCAAACAATTTCCACATCAACACTGGCAAAGGAACAGCAAGAAATACTGTTTACCAACAAGCAGAAAGAAATTACATATATTAGAAACCAACACTTTCTCATTACTTTATTTTCCAGATCAACAGACTGGGCCACAGCAACGCGTGGCAGGGGACAGATAGTTTATTATTATTTATTTCTGGTATTTCTGTCCCGTTCCTTCTTAACCCCCGAAGGGGGACTCAGGACGGCTTGCATTTGGCAGCAATTCGATGCCACTACATAACACAGCAACATAATAACAATTAAAACAATAAGTAAAAACAGTATTAATAGCCATAACATCATTCCAGTCAATTACAATTCCATATGTAAACATGGCTCCTTTCATGTCTTCTCTCGGCCTTCTCTTCCGAGGCTAAACAGACCCAAATCTTTAAGTTACTTTTCCTCAGAGGGATTTATGGTCTTCTTTTAGTGGCCCTCTTCCTCTGAATCTCTTCCAGCTTAGAGTCAATATCCCACTTGAATTGCTTCCCCAGAACAGAACACTGGGCTATTCCAGGTGTCTAATTCTGGGTTTACATTTGCATGCCCAAAATGGACCATTTTCTAAAACCGGCTTCTTCTGTAGTTACCAAGTTTGCATGATCAATACAACCCTCCCATTTTTTCCAACTGAACCTGGTCAGCTTGACAAGAGCAGGTTCTTTGTTTTCCAAATGGTACATTTTGTGCCCAGAGCCAGATTTATACACTTGGCAGATATTGGCACTCCTTTGCCTTCAGCCTCTTTGTGGTTGTGTGTCATCTCCTTGTGTGTGGATGCTGGCCAAGAACTCTGAACCCTATGAGCCTCCCTGCTTTCTTCTTCCTCCTGCACCCAGATTACCAGCAGAAGCAAGGAGTCCACCTGGGCCCTGATCCACAGCGTGAGCGATGCCTTCTCTGGGTGGCTGCTGATGCTGCTGATAGGACTCTCCGCAGGTGAGAAGGAAAAGAAGGGAAAGAGAGGGGAGGCCCCACTTGGGTGGGTCTGTTTGTGTGGGTTCAAGGAGGGGTCTTGCTTCTGGCCGCTGAGGGCACCCCTTTGTCAGCACAGGGGCCTTGGCTGGCCTGATTGACATCTCTGCCCACTGGATGACCGACCTGAAGGAAGGCGTTTGTCTAAACCGCTTCTGGTACAACCACGAACATTGCTGCTGGAACTCCACCGAGGTCACCTTCCAGAACCGGGACAAGTGTCCTGAGTGGAGGACCTGGGC